AGAAAGCTTTGTTAAACTTGTGGGCGGAGCTCCCCGGTTCGTCTTCGGCAGTCCAACAATTAGCCATGGAGCGCGGTTAACAAATAGCTCGAATTCGAAGTATGAACGTGAAATTTCAAGACCGTTCCCTGTTCTCAACACGGAAGGGGTGTCAACTGTTCTATAGAGATCCCTACGCGCAAGGGGCGGGGAAAGAGACGGTGTCGTCAGGTGTGGTTCGGCGGCGACTAGGGTGTCAACTGTTCCATACCGAACTTCGAACTTGCAAGGAAATCTGGTAGGGCGGACTTCAGTGATGAAGACTGACTTTAAGGGCGATAGCTTCTTACAGAGATTGCTATTCTGTATTGCAGTCCCGTCGTTTTCCATCGGGTCTAAAAACCCCTCGGATTGGAATGAGGAAAAGTCACTAGTTACATATAATATTTGACCACGATCGATTGGTCAATGGAAATACTGGAAGCAGTTCCTACGATTTTGCGCAGATTAAAATCGTAAGACCAAACACGCCCCTTTTCGATCGGAGCAGGTCCTGCCGCTTGTAAAAACGTCACAAAATCTAACCGTCCCCGAACTTCTTCCTCTAGTACAAACCACCTTCCGCAACCTACCCACCTAGGGGAGGAGAGAGGAGTATAGCACGGGTGAAACAGAAAAGACCGCAAAAAGTCAATAATCGAAAAAGTTTCCTAGCGCGCTGAATCATTTCTTGAGACGAAGAACGACCTCAAGACCCCTCCCCCGCCCTCTCTTCAAAGCGCCGAGTAAAAACAACCTCTCTTCCCCCGCGCAATGGGAGTCCGCCAATGCTGTGGATAGCTTTCGTAAAACACGAAAAATCGACTATAAAAGAAATTTCGCTCAGGTCAAAAAAAGACCCTCCCCTCCCTGCAGCGACTAAAAAGGATCGACCTCTAGCTAGGTTCGACCTCCGTTTCAGCAATCTTTAAAGCAGAAAAAGATGCTCTAAACCCATATATCTCTTCGCGGACACCGCTATCTACGAACCACGTCACCTTTCAAGGGGTAATTCATCTACAAAGGCAGTGAAATGGGGGGAAGGAAAATAGGAGGTGCCACATATATCCAAGGCAAGTCAGCGAACAAGTTTTCCGGAGAAGCTGTGGAAAACTTGCCCGATCGATTCTCACTGACTGCTTCTTTTTTGTGGTAGAAGAACTCTTCTCTGTGAAAATTTGTCATATTTCAGTCATCTGCCCCATGTTTCTGTCTTCTAGAGCGATCAAATATAAAACTTGTCCTTCATATGGTGGGGGAGTGAAATTGATTAACGACTCCTTCCGCGTCATGTGAGCGGCACTCTTAGGCTGCGTTCATACTTTGCGGCAGTCCACCAGCGTTCCTTTTCTAGTCCGCCAGCGTCAGCGTAAAGTATAGATACCGATAGAGGGTCTACCAGCGTCTACCGCGACCGGCCAGCAGGACTCCGTGGGGAATAGCGGACGATAGGTGGTACCAACTGTCTACTACCCTCCTATCTCCCCATATCCTCCCAACAGCTGTCTCTTACCCTCATATCTCTCCATACTTCACCATCTGTCTGTAACCTACCGCCCTAGCTCCGCTTCCGGCGACGCTGGTTGACGGCTGGTAGACGATGGCATTCGCCTAATATTGTATCTACACGTCGAATGGCTGACGCTGCCGGATCACGCTGGGAACGGCTGGATATTGCATTGTTTGCTGGATGGGAGTGCGGCGAAGATGAACGCAGGCCTCACCAGAGACCTAATACTCAAGGTGGTTAGCTCCAATATGACGAGCCTGCAAGCCAGGGAATAAAGGATAGTTTGGCGCATGGCCACAATATGGATATAAGTTTCACATCTGTTTAGCAGCATCGACTCACCTAATAACGTCGCTCCGACATACATGCTGAAAAAGAAGGAACACGCTGACGGGAGACGTTTCTTGCGTACACCGGGCAGAATGATGAGGAACGTAATCGACGGTACGACGAAAATCGAGAACAGCCCGACGATATGAGTGTCTGAAAAAACGTGTCGATATCGTTTAGCCCAATTCCATTAGCCTTACGTTTTCATTCGATCGTTTTTGACGTATTGTAGCAGGGTTGGGTCATCAAAAGGATTTGTAAGGTATTACGTTGACCATCGATTTTCCTGCGTCTCTTATGTCCAGAGCAGTAATGTGTAGGGATTCCCAGCGAGGAAGGTCTTACTTGGCGCTGAACGGGAGGGGTCGTAATCACTTCCGAGAAAAGCACTTTCAGTTGTTGACTTTTCTTGGTTTCCCCTAATTCAAGTGCGCTACTTACCTCCCCCCCCCCCGCCTCCCACCCTCTCCTCCGACGGCAGCTCCTGAGGGAAAACAGGAAATTTCGGGGAAAAGGGGAAAGAAAAAGAAGCTCCGGAAAAGTCGTAGGAGGTTATGAAAATTCAGGAAGAGGTAGGTAGGGAGCAAGGTAGGAAGGAGCGGGTCGTGCATAGTACCAGAGAAGGGAACACGAGGGAGAGAGTCGCGCTTGCAAAGATTTTCCTCAACGGTAGGACGTGCCCTGCCCTGGTCATAGAAATGGATTTGCATAGCAGGTAGGAGGGAGGCGCGTAGCAAACTATGCACACAATACATAATTCTATTGAGAAAATCTTTACGAGAGGGACGGTCGTATTCGAGTCGCTTTCGAAAGGCGTAGTTATTCCGCTGAGGATCTGCATCGTGACGTATTGAATAGGCCGAGAAGGAAATTTGGAGATCAGGGCAGCCCTGACGCTAGGGAAAATTCTTGGAAAGTTCGACCCATCTCAAATTCGTAGCCTGCTGTGCCCCCCCCCCCATCCTGTTTGCCTCTGTCTCTCTTGCCACCTTCTCCAAGCTTCCTACCACTTTTATCGCTCCCCAAAAATTACCATACTTTTCCCAAAAATTTTACCGTCGAGCCAGGGAGGGGTCGATATTTAACAGCAGAGCAACGGAAAACCCGCCAAAAATCAGCAATCGGAGAAGGCAAAAAATTTCTCTCAAAGGCCAACGATTCTCCTCCCCCTCCCCCCACCGCACCCCCTCCCCCCTCACACCATGCACCTATTTCATCCCCACTGTAATTATCCCAACAATGGTGATAGCGCCCATGAAACAATAAAAATCAACTATCAAAAAAAATTCACAACACCAAACACAACCTTCCAGCTGAGGAATCCTCAACGTAAGACGTGCCTTGAGAGAGATTCTATAGCTCCTGGTTCATTGTATACGTACACTCCTTCCCCTGCATGGAGAACGATGAACTTTTTTTTACCATGGGAAATCCTCCCTCTCAGCCGCCCAGATGGCAGCGAGTTTTTCCTGAGAAACTGGTCCCTATAAGGTTCGTATGAAGGTAGGTGAGATTGAAACATTAGAAGGAGGTCACGTTTCAAGCAAGTTCTGGATGGGGGAAGGGAAGCCGATATCTTCATAGCCTATCGTGGCGATTCAGCCTTGATTTGGCAACATTTACCCTTCATTGTCCCACTCATCGACATTCAGACGAATCTTGATCGGAACTCCTTCCCGACTGCAATTCTGGCCAAAGCTTTGCCCTGGAGTATTCTGAATCGTGGAACCAAATGAGTATCCGTTCAAAAGCGAAAACGACTGACGTTCACGCCCCAGGTGGCGTCACAGGCCAGTTTTGGTGCTGCAATCCACGTAACGGGCGTTTTCGTAACAAACAGATGTGAAATTCGTGTTGACGGTGTCAAAACATCCGTTAACACAAACGTAGCATTTGGCTGTTTTGTGGGGTTTTGGCACCGCGCTGTGACGAGGGCTTGAGCTTGGCGCACACTCAAAATCCCTGAGATGGTAGGCGTGGCTGCGTACTTGAATTGAACGTGACGGCGGCCAAGCTTTCCGCCACACATTTTCATTTTGGGACAGTTAGTCATGTCTCAGTCCACACATCAGGATGACAGTTTTCTCAAGCTGGAATATCCCACGAGTAACCCATCCTCAACTGTGTTCAAATGCCACGCCTACTCCGTCTCGGGGATAAGGAGTGTGTGTAGCATTGTTGAAAGAATTTAACCTAGGTGACTACTAGGTGACCAACATCCGTTCAACTCCAGCCTCGTGGGAAATTTTGGACAAATTTCTATGGGCCATAGGTCTAAATTTCGAAGATGGAGCAGCAGAACTTGAATTGCGCCCCCTATTTCATCAAAAAGTGAGGGAAGGAACAGGAATACGCGAGGGTTCCTTGAAAAAGGGAAGGTCGCTCTTTAAAGAAGGTGGAAGATGGAATTCATAGTGCAAAGGCCTAAAAAGACGAAACATCGGAAGAAAGATGACAAAAGTGCTCCCGCAGAGGGTGCCGGTTCCCCATTTCAAGTGAACTAATCCAATTAAGATTTCCTCTGTAAAGACTCGCCCTCTCTGGTGAACTTTCCCATGGGACTACAAATGAACAAAGCAACATCTTAGAACGGGTTTACATAGGTTTTCTTCGGGAACCATGACACCTGGAGAGGAGGGTAAAGTTCAACGTAACTGAAAGGCTCGTACTAGCAACAATGAGAGATGTTTTGGACCCCTCATCGCCGTGACGTAAGTGTTTTATCGGGTTCGGCCTGGTTTAATACTCCCCCCCCTCGTGAATTTGTATCGAATTAATTACCACTAAAGTCATCTAAAGAGGATAGAAACACCAAAACACAGAACACATCCATCATTTGGACCCTTTATGCTTCTGAACGCCTAATCAAAACTAAGCTTGATGTTGAGTGCACGGCGCAATGAAAAATTCCGTTCCCCTCTCCATGATTCACTTACTATAACGCTTTACAATTCTTCAATAAAAGTAGCCGCTAGAAATGATCACGTAGCCCCAAAAGAAATCACTGGGTATGAAGGCCATTCCACGATGATCGCATGGGAGGAGGCAGGGAACTTTTGTGCCGCACTCTTTCGTTTCACCTTACTCCCTACAGCCCTGGAAAGAAGAGGAGCACTAATGGCGAAGGTACAAAAGAAGCGTGGCTCCGCCCATTTGACCAAATAGAACTGTCTCTCAGGGGGTTTGTGCACCGTGCAACCAAGGCTCAAAACGAAAAACAGCGCAAAAGAAGCTGGGAGGGTGGGTACTGCATAGTGATGTGTGAAATGTGGGGTCTCTACGACTCCCCCCCCCTCGCCTAATCCTACCTAAAATATTCGTGGAAAATCCTAGCTTCTTACCCCTATTCCCAAAGTTCCAAAATTTTTCCCAGTTTTTCTCTTTAAAACTCGAGTGAGGGAGGGGAGGGGAGTTTGTCATCAAACATCTGCTAATTTCGATTATTGAAACTAGTAATTGTTAAATGAGTTCAAGGCAGTGCCGACTAGTAGAGGAGAGGCATTGCGTATACGAAACAGGGAAATGCTGGAAAAGAAAACGTTCAGAAAAAAAAACTACGACCCCTCCACCAACCAACACAAAACAAGTAAGTCCCCTCCTCCCATAGGAATACTATACTCCCAGCAATGCACGCAACGCAGGTGAAACGGAAAAAAAGGGGGGATGCAACTCTGGCGAATCGGTAATTGAAAAAAGTTCATTAGGCCAGAGTTGCATTCCCCTCCCTGGCAAACATGCGTGGTTCCCCTTAGAGAGATCCTCCCAACGGTGCTTATCGTGCTGGAACTTATGCAAGTTCAGCCGGGCGTGCCGATAAGATCTTCTTCCACGGGCTATAGACCTCGCTTTTTATTATGCGCGGTTATGCGCCAAATAAGTGGAAAACAGAGGTTCAGATATCGAATGGTAAGGGATACTTTACAAATCTGGGATACGTCAGCAATTGGAAAGTTTGAGCATCATACACAGTGCGTGTCGAACATTGTAGTCCCCAGCAGTGGGGGGGGGGGGGCGCATTTGGTCGCTGGAGGGAGAGTAGTGGAGAAAATGTTGTTGGTTGCTGACTCTCCACGGTTTCTACTATTTCAGATCCCACCCCCGGCCTCGACGGTGGAGAACAGGGCACATCGTTGTTGGGGGTTCCCCAACAGGGTGGGCGGAGGGGGGTCGAATTTGAAAACTGGGAGAGGGGAGCACGTATTTTGGTTGAGAAATTTTTTGATAGTTGATTTTTTTGTGTTTCAGGGACGCTGTAAAGTGGGCGGGGGTCGTCCTGCCGTTGGGGGAACCCATACGTCGTACCAACCTAAAAAAAGGGGGGGGGGTGGGGTGTCGTACGGATTCGATCAGAATCTCCAGCCAGAGATGTACCCTGTTAGAGAACCCCTCCGAAAAAGTGGTAGAAAATTGGGGAAAACCTACAACGATAGCAAGTAAGATGGGCGAGGGTTGTATCAGAGAAGGGGAATTTCGAGAGGAGCGGCCGTTTTTTGTAAATATCCCCCCCCCCCCCCAACGGCAGGATGTGCCCTTATTATAAAGGAATTTGTGCAGCCTAAACTGATTGGCTCACGTGATGCAACTAATGTTAGGACCATTGTTATTATCCATGAATCCTAAAATAAAACGAATATATCTGCGAACGAAAGGTACAAAATCCTCCAGGGAGGTTGGAGGTGGGGAAGGGGGGTAAGCGGTGCTTGTAACCTTTACGTAACAATACATAAAGCAATGGAAACTATGGAAGTATAATGACTTACCAAGCATCACCGGTGTACGGTTCTCGCCATAAAATGTCGGTGCTCCATGTTCCCGGAATGACGTAAACCATCCGAGCATATCGCATATGCTGCAAGGAGAAAACGTGCGAAAAATCGATATCGGACAGCAGCACAAAAAACAATCGACAGAATTAATCGATAAGTTGAGCAACTGGCCGGAAATCTGGCAACTTTCAGTTAGGGAATGGAGCGCTAATGAACTGCGGCGTGTTTTACAGCTAGAAAACCTTCCACGGGACAGCTTGCACACAAAAATCATGGGTCAATAGGGGTAAAGAATAACGTGAGGTCAGCGTAGATATCAGAGGCAAACCGCACGTTACCGCTTGACCTGATTTTCCTCAATTCCAGTTAAACATCGGGAACCAGGAAACCGCCAGGGACAGCGCTACCGGTTTGAAAGTGCAACGTTGGTGGGAGTGGGGGAAGAAGGGCAATGTGTGTGAAGGTACAAAGTGAAAGGAAGTCGTACAACTCATGTCAAGAAGCACGTTCTCTACAGCAGAGAAAATGATTAAACCCTGAGCTCAGTGAACTAAACGAGTAGCTGAAGATGTTTAGACTGGCTAGGCAGAGAAGAAAGACAAGTGAAGGACAATGGAGAATGATTGAATCGATTAATTAGAGATGAATCGTTTGTAAGGAAGCCCTATGATTCTGTCATTCATGATAAATGGTATGGTCTACGACACGTAATCATTCTTAAATGGGGATCATTAAAGTGATTGAAAGGGGTTTGTCTACAGACAATGATTCGCACTGTTCCACTCGACGATTATAACCATGTTTTCGACGTTCCAGATGGGATGGTTTCAGGAATCCCACAGGAAGAAGAGCTCAAATTGGCGCCAAGTGAGGTATGTGGTGTGAGCCAAGGGCACATCGCCAGGCCGTTAACTCGGCACATTACACCATCGGCGGTGTCACCTCCTGTGTAAGATAGTGTAAAGTGAGCATTAGAGTATACTTGTATGGAAAAAACGTTTTAATTGGCTCAGAATAGAATAGTTTATAGCTAATTTGGAAGTGGCTTCAAATGGAACGTAAACGAATGGTGTTCTTTTGCACATGAACATACGAACAGAATCCGGTTGCAATAGCAGAAATGGGCGGCATTAACGATCGCCCTTAACGATCGTTAAGGACATCAAGCACTGACGAAGCGTTGGAAAAACGGTGAATCACGAAGTGTTTGAAAAAAGATCCGATTGGAAACAAGAATGCACTAGAAGACATGCACGACCAGTTTTGAAGTTGAGCGTTGATTAGTTATCCTCCTTTGAAATGCGTATCAGTATCGAGCCAAAAAAGCGCTGCTTCCCTTCTTGAACCCATTAATCCGTGGTGTCGCTTAGAACTTAAAGACACAGTGCGCAAATATCTGTAAGTAGGGGATGCTCCTCGCATGAGCGGCTCGTGCTCACGGTCGTTTAGGCGTGCCACTTTTGTCAAGCGAAAGGGCGTGGCAATGACGTCAACGGGTAGTGGCGCAGAACGCTACCAAGCCCAAGGCCGAGGACCCCACCCACCTTACTGCTGTGTCCTAGCGCGGTCAAGCATCGCGGAAGTTG